TCTTTAAACTGAAAAATAGAAAACTTTGCAAACCACAGTGGTGGAGCACTGCAGTGCAACATTATCAAGAAGTGAATTATAAATTTGACTTAAGAGTGCCTGACAGGGAAATTACCTTCGTCTGAATGAGAAATATAGAGAGATGTTAAAATATTTATAATTGGGAGAATTAAGTCAAAATTCTACACAAGAAAATTAATTACCACAAAGTCCGTTAACAAATGGTAAAAGGAAATTTACAACTAATTACTGTGAGGTCTGTTAAATTGCCTTTTGCCAGTTGTTAATAAACCTTGCAGTAATTAATTTTTTTGTGTGGGACCTGCATGTAATTTTTTCTTTATAATTTGAAAAACATTTTAGGCTTTAGATTTAAAGTTCCAATCACATATGTAGAATATATTTCACGCCTATACCCCATTGATGTATGCATGCGTCAATGAATACACACAAATAAATACTTACAGATTACATAACATGCATGCATGGATATTTGTTGAATAAATGTGATATTAATGGATATCACAAACTTAAAAATGTCCTCATAAAATCTCAAAGAATTAATGAATCACAAGATTTAGAAACAAAAAAAAGATCAAGAAATAAATATTCCCCAAATTGACATACACAATCATGTTATTTTTCACGTACATTGACGTTTATTTGGCTTAATTATATATGTTTTTTAAAGGGGGAATGACAGTTGAGTGATTCCACAATCAAATTCGTGATGCTTCGTAAACTTTTGGCCAGTGGTGGAACTCGATGGAGCCAAACTAATAATTATTAATTGATTTTTTTGTTGTTCAATTCACAATCTTGAACCTCAAGTGTAAAATCAGATATTACTTAATTGAAAAAAAAAATTATTTTTGGCTCATGGCTTAATTTCTTGTGATTGTCTTTTCCTGTAAAGACAAAAAAGACCACGAGAGAGATGTGGAAAGAGTAGAATAGATAATTTGAGCCTTATCAAGAAGGATAGAGGAAGGTCAGAGAAAATACTTTTGGAAGTTGTTGATCAAGACTTCTTAATTAACAATATTTTTAAAAGCTTAATAAATAATATAATACAATTGCGTCATATAATCCATGTAGCTGACTTCACCTAGTGGAATAAGGCTTGTTGTTGTTGTTGTCTTTTTCTGTAGTAAAAAACTTGCTTGTTCTTGTTTATATTTTCTTGGATTTTGATACTTGTCCCTCTATTCTGGTTTGGCAAAACATTTTGGTTTGTAGTTGATCTTTTATAAATAGAGGTAGCTGCAAATTTTAGAGGGTAAGTTACAAATATTTGAAATTAAACAAATAATATTTCATAAAGTTCAATATTGAAATCCTTTGTTTTTATATAAAATTGGGGAGCTAAGTTGCAAACAAAAGTAGATAAGGCTTTAAATCCCCTAGAGCTAGAACTCAACAAATCTCATAAAACTTGTTATTGTGTTTAAATTTGTTATCTATTAAAATTTATTCTATTGAGATTTAAGAAATATTTTATACTCATCAAATATTATTAGATATTCATTAATTACTATTAAAAGGGTCTATATCTTATAAACTCTTCGTATCAATAAAGAATGACACCTTCCCCAATCTCCTCTCTTACTCTCTAGACTTCTTTCATGGTATTAGAGCCTGGTACATAAAAGAAGTAAAAAAAAAAAACAAAGAAAAAGAGAAAGGAAAAGTATCATACTTCATTGATATGAATGACTTAATAACTAATAAATATATTAATAATATTTAATGAATATAAGTATTTCTTAAATATTAGCAGAATAAATCTTAATAGATAACAAATCTAAACATAATAAATCTCAATAGATAATATATCATAACAAATATTTATTAACATCTTATGTTTCTAACTAAAATTGAGAATCCTGTATAATTGCAAACCAACGTTGGTTTGCAAATTAGAAAGTGTAATTTCCAAATTCGTAAAAATAAACAAATAATTTATCATCATGAGGAAAAATCAATGTCGAGAGAATGAGTAAGTTGGGATACAGATCTAATTGCAAATCAAGGTAGATGAAGTTTCAATTACAAAAGAGTAGGTTGCAAATAAATCTTTAGAGTTCGGACACAATATATATATATATATATATATCTTTAAAGTTGACCAAATATTCTCCCATAAGATTCAATGGTAAAGGTCGTGTTTAATTGTGTTATGGACTTGTGTGGGAACTTAGGTGTAATTCCTAAAAAGAAAAAAGTGCTAGAAACTCATTTTTGGCATAGTATTGTCATGCTCTTTAATTACATGAACATGAACTATTAAACACCGTCATGCTCTTTAATTAGTTTTTTTTTTTTTGTCCTTTTAGGTAACACCCTTCTATTTTCTAATAAATATCAAACCCAAAACTAAGCAAGTTACTCGTTTGGCCACTCTTGTATTTATTTTGACCTAGCATTTCAAGAATAAATATTCATATGCGTATCTATGTATGCAACAAAACAATAAATTTTCTATATATGCAAATCAATTTTGATAATAAAAAGGAAAAAATATTTATTTAAATTTTTGGAAGTAGAAATAAATTATACCCATTATAACATTGCAGTTAATTTAGAGTAATGACACGATTAATAGATGCTAGAGGAGCTGCAATTTTCAGCCGATCTAGGTCACTCTATCTAGCACGTAACCTGAGCTGAAGTTTTCTTTTATGTTTTTCGTTTTTACAATTTAAATTTAAATCCAAAGCTAATAACATTGGTGCTGATAACTAGCAATGTCACAATTTTTTTATTGGTAATTTCTTATGTTTAGAATCCAGTCTAACAATGGGTTTAATTTGAAATATCTTACTAGGTTATTCCAATTATTGAATTGATTTTTATTATCGAGCTCATTAAATATTTTTTTGTATCATACTATAAAATACCCTAATAAAATAGTAGGGCTTAAAAACTACTCCTTACATCCTAAATTATAAAATAACTTACGTGCAATCTTACATTCTCAAAATAAAAACTGTACAATCTTATGTTCTCAAAATAAAAATATAAACGATGACAAGTTAAAAACTGAATTATATGAGATTTAAAAGTTTAATGACCGAATTACATCGAGTCTTGAGTAAGTCAAAACTTCAAGAATTAAAAAATTATTTTTTCTTCATTTAATATAACTTTAAATCTACAATCATTAAAACTTTCTCTGCACTTAAAGGATAATATTGAAAAAATATAATTAATCAAACTTTAATTTTTATCAAATTATCTTATATTCTGGGATGAAAGGAGTATTTGCTTTAGCCCAAGTCTTATTTCTTTTTGGGTTGTCATCAACTGCACGTCAAACAGATGAAATGATTGTTTAGAACTACCATCAAAACTTCTACCAAAACATTTTTCTGTTGATGTCCCTGCAATAGTTTGCCTTTCTTAGCCCCAAAAAAATAATAAAAATAAATGCAATGTAATAATAATTTCATCTCAAAGGGAATAAATTAATCAATGCTTTCATCAAATTTACATTCATTAAATTATTAAATTGCCAAAATCAATTATTATAAGAGGTCAAAGCCAATTTTTTCTACATGTCAAAATTAATTATAAATTCATAACCACGATTATCTCATAAGCTACTATTACTACTTCTCAATTCAACTTTTCAACTATATTTGTCTGAAAATTTATTCAAAATCTTATAAACTATTTTACAAATCATGTTTTTGAGTTCCTCATTGATTTTAATATATGTAGAGGTGTTTAGATATTTTTAAGAAAACTATAATTTTGAATTCATAATTGATTTTGACATGTATGATGTGCATTTGAATATTTTTAGGAAAACATGATTTTAGATTTCTAACTTATTTTCACATGTAATAGGGGTATTTAGATATATTTTTTATAAAATCATGATTTTGACCTTTAAAATTGATTATTTATGAAGCCCAAGGAGGCACACTATTACTTGCTTTTCAATTATAGTTTTCTAAAATTTTATCAAAAAATTATATAAATCATTTTACAAATCATATTTTTAGTTTCATAATTGTTTTTGACATATAATTCTTCTCATGCCTAAGTGAAATACCCAAAAAAAAAAAGCAAATGTGGTGGATTTTAATTTGCAATAGATAAATCAATGATTTTCTGGTTGCGATGGATTTTGCCACGTCCGATACGATGCTGAAAATTCTGTTCACATAATAAGCGTGTCCAAACAGGGTCTGAAAATTCTGTTCATTCCATAAACACCACTAGAGCATTTATCACGTGGAAAAGGCATGACTAAGAACGTGTAATTAAGAGTGCACAAAGTCATCTTCCGTATGTTTTCAACCTTCACTTCCAACTGGTGATACCTTGATCGCAAATCAATATTGGACAATACCGTTGTCCCAACCAACTCATAGTCATCAATGCGTGACAATGAATACTTGTTTTTTATCATCACTTTTTTAATTGCTGGTACACACAACCACATTGTACTATCCTTTTATTTCACAAAAAACACGAACCCTGTTGAAATATTAGAAGTGATTAGGTATTAATTATTTGGTAGTTAGTGACCCTAATGTGTATATAAAGGGCACAACTTTGTACAAAAAAGTACAGAGGTTAACTTGGTCCTCACCTTATTGCTTCACCTCAAAGTTGGAGTTATTTCACTCTCAAGATATACTATTACAAAAAAGGCTATATATAATGCCTTATATAAAATGGTTATCGAAAAAATCATTATATAGTTGAGGCAAAATTTAAGAAAAGGAAATATAGAGTGGTTATATAAAATAACCGCTATATAATCTGGAGAACATAAAGCAATTATTTAGCATGACCGTTTTATAGTCTTGAGATTATAAAGCAGTTATTTTAAACAATCATTTTATAATCTTTTGACTTAAATTTACATAACATGCAGGTTGATGATATCATTGTCTCTAAACTAATGATTTTTTTAATCCCACGGCACGCGTACATTCTCTCTCTCAAACCCATCCTCCCGCACACTTCTCTCCTTCACTCAACCTTCTCTCTCCCTCTCTCTCACGCAACCACTTCACGCCCCTCTCTCTCTCTCTCTCTCACTTAACGGCAATGAATCGACCACCTCATAAACCACCTTCATCAAAGTCGATACTTCCTCCTTCAAGCAAGTTGTCCATATGCTCATTGAAGCCCCCTCCCTTAGCTTGTTCTCAACCTCATCACGCCGCGCCTACCCTACTCGTTCGATCACTCTATTGTGGATCTGGTCTAATAAGGCGGGTACAGTAAAAGCCCAAGTTTGGATACGAAAGAACCATCAAAGAGAAGGGGTTTAACTTGCATCTGTCACTGGCGACTACTCCTAGGACCGTCGAGCCTAGATTACTATCTCTGTTATCGACCACATCTCTTAGAGCTTCAGGTTCTTCTTCTTCTCTCTTCGTCTCCCAATTGATTTTTATTTTGGTATACAATAGTGCTTAACTTCTTCGTCTTGGTTCTTGTTCATTTCCTTGATTGGAAGAAGATGGATGAATGTAGGGGCTGCTAGCCCCCCCCCTTTTTTTTTTGAGAAAAAGCTCATATATAAGACAATTATTTGGAAACAACTGCTTTAATTCTTATACCCATAATATAAAGTGGTTGCTTACCAAAAAGCCATTTTATATATCCAGAATATAAAGAGATTATTTTCAAATAACCATTTCGTATACCCAGAATATATTTGTTTGGGGAATATGCAATGTCAAGATATACAATAATTAAAAACTGTTATATCTATTTTATATACTTTTTTTGTAGTAATGATGGGGTTAGTAAATTATCCATGAAGGGTAGAAATCCTTCAAGTGAAAGAATGTTATATTGTTTTGTAATCATTGTTGCTAATTAATGAAAGGAGTGTTCATCAATATTCCTCTCTCTTTAGATTTCTCAACAAACCCCAATTACTCGGCCTCACAAAACCCTTCTCTACTAATTCTTCAATCTCCTTCGTTAGCTGCACTAACACTGATAGAGACATTTGATATGGTGCTTTTAATATCGGTGCAGTTTCGAGAACAGGATCAATGGTGAACTCCACCTCCTTCTCCGAAGGCCCTAAGTGTACTTCATTGCACATAAGTGTACTTTGGTTTGATCGATCTGGTTGTAGTAGCCAATCTTCCAAGTTCGGATTACTTGGTCCCTAGGTACTTATTAATTTTAGAACTTAAAGAACTAATGTAATAATTTAAGAAAATGTAAAAAACTAAATCAATATAAATCAAACTTGAGGGGTCAAATTGACAACTAAACAAATTTAAAAGGCTAAAATTTTCACTATCCATTTTATATGCCATCATCATCTTTCTTCCTATACGACAGAATTTTGATCTTCAAAGGTAGAGAAGCATGGTGTCATTTCTCTTTATCCTCTTCTAAGTCACCTTCTCAATGTTTTGTGATATTCTTTCCAGGCCGCTTGATTCACCTTAGTTCTACAAAAACCTATTCAAATGGAAATAGTGCTATGATGTTGTGAGTATATAAATAATACAAAGCAAAACCGCTAAAATGTTAAAGTTTGTACACTAAAATTAAAAGATCATTGTAGCTCAACTAACAAAAGGTACACATGAAAAGGAAAAGGTCTTGGGTTTGAGCTGGTGGAGGTCCATGTGGCGATGATGTGGTGAGTGGCGAGTGATATGGGGGTGACATGGCAGTAATTGGATTCCCAAGAAAAATTAATTATAAAATAAATTAGTGATGAATAAATCTGTCACATAGATTAGTGCCGCTATATTTTTGACAAAAATTAGTAATAAACATTCCATTACTAAATTCAAAATTAGTAAAAGAATATTCACTCAATGAAACGATTTGAAGGAAAGGCAGAAATTCTGCAGAGAAAGACAAGGAAATAGAAGAACACTGATAGTTAAAATAAGTCATTATACCAAGATTTTGCAAAATAATAAAAATTTGTTGATGAGATGGATAAGAAAGATCTACATATACAGATAAAATGCAAGGGAAAAATTTGACTTGGTGGAATAACTTACTTGTCAAACATGATGTGACTATTTGACAAAAGATTGAGGGACATTTTTACTCAACTTTACCCGAAGGGTTACTAAAGATTCTAAATTCAACTATAAATCAATTATATCCCTCAATATTAAAAATTCCATCATTCATCACCCTGACATTAAAAATACTTAATATCTATTAGTTATCAATAGGTTCCACTATTTTTTATTATTTTTATTGGGCTAAGAGTCATTTTTACACCTTAACTTTTATTTGAAGGGTTAGTAGGCACCCTTAACTCAAATATTTTATAATAAAAAATCAAAAAATTTAATGAGGTGTCCACTAATGGTGAGAAAATGGCAAGGTAATAAAGAAGGAAATATTTACAATTGAAAGACAAAATTAACCCATAGTTGAGTTTAGGGTTCCTAGTGATCTTTTAGCTAACTTAAGAGGCAAAAATGACCTTTAACCCTTTGATATATTATTGAGTCAATTTGATAATTTCTTAGAACTTTTCTCACCACGTTTTTTTGGTTGTAGGTGATGAAAAGAGAAGTAAAATTTTTCGAAAGGAATGAGAAGGAGCCATAAGGCTAAAAGCATCTTAGAGAGATATCGCAAGCCACATAATATGTGAAAACAAGGTATTTATACTGCAACAAAGATAAAAAAAAATGTTGGTAGTAATTTGAATGGATATCATTAGTGTAACACTCTAGTTTTTAAATTGAGAAAGAGCCATAAGGCTAAAAGCATCTTAGGGAGATATCACAAGCCACATAATATGTGAAAACAAGGTATTTACACTGCAACAAAGATACAAAAAAAAAAATGTTGGTAGTAATTTGAATGGATATCATCAGTGTAACACTCTAGTTTTTAAATAGGGAATAAATTGGGAACTTGAGGATTTGACATTAGGATTTGAACATTATTTTGAGGTGAAACTTAGGAATAAAAAAAATACAATTGAGGTTGTTTGAGGATAACAATACGTTTAGGAAAATAATTATGATTTTTGTTGGGCCAAAAACATAATAGAATGGTTAGATAGGTCCAAAATAAGTAATTGAACTGTACTAGTCCCAAAAGGGGTAGAATCAATTTTTAAAGGTTGACTAAGCGCAAACGAGCATAACAAAGGGCTTGACCACTTGCAGATGGGGTGTGAAAACATGGATGTTTCATTTAAACAAAAACACGGATGTTTCATTTAAACACCCATCCGTGCATGGATGGGCATGCAATAGCCATGACCACGAGCAGATGAGTAGGGTTTCAAGTGTCCTTGTTTCTATTTTGAAACAAAAAAGCATGAGAGAGTTTGAAAATCATAGAGAGGTTCAAGTTTGCTCTACTAGGGCACAAATTTCTGTGGCTTGGAGTGGTTCTTAAGTTGTGCAGCCATTCCAGGTGAGTTTCTAGCTTCCTCTTCTACATTTCTACATACTTTTCTTTGAGTTTGAGGATAATTTCTGAGCTAGGATTTCCTATAAGATGTTTGATCCAAACCTATGATTATTTTTTATGGTTGTTGAGATTGTCGAGAGTCTAATAAATGCTGCATAATATTTATTTAACGTTGGAATTTGAATTTGAGGATTTTGAGTTAAACCCTAGATTTAAATGGCGAAGGTTGGATGAAATAGATGTTTAGATGTTTGTTTAAGCATAGATTAATGCTTTTATGGTATTAGAATTTTAATTTGATTCTTGAGGACAATTTTTTATTTTTGGGGTATTTTGGATGAATTTTGAAGTTATGTAATGATAAAATATTGATGGTGGGATTGATTTAAGATTTAATTAAAGCTTATAAGTGTAAGAGGATGTTAAAAGAATTTTGGGAAGGGTTAAAATGGGCACTAACATTGATTTAGTATTAAGTGTGGGTTAGGCCTATACTTACTACCTCCAAATTTAGATTTATTTATTTGTTACAATATGAAATTAATATGTAGTATGATGTAATAATTGTGTAGATTGTGTTGATCAAAAGAATGGACTAATGTGGATTTGAAAGGAAATTTATTGTCCAAAACACAAGATAATCATTATTAATATGTGGTGGGAGTGGGTGTGTGTGATTATGTGTGGTTTATTGTTTGAAAAATCATAATTGTTTCGAAGTACATGTATGTATTTGTTTAGAATTATTGCCAAGTGGGTTAAATTGTATATGTCTATTATGTAAAGATATTATTGTTTGGAAGCATGAAAACTATTCGGTTATGTTTTTGTTTGGTTGTTTAAAATATACATGATTTGTTGAGATATTTTAAAATATTATTGTTAGGAAATTTTTTTTTTGATACTTATTACCACAAGGCACCCTCATTGGACCCAATGAGTGGCATGTAGCTTGGTCCAATTTATATTTGGCTAGGTGATTTGGCTTCTGGGCATGGCGTAAGGAGAGATATAAGGTATAATCATGTGATTAAATATTTGTTTAATTTGTTTGAAAATATTTGTTCGGGTAAATGTTTTGTGTGCTTGCATAGTAATCGCATAATTAGTTACATCCACATGCATCGTTACATATTAATTCTAGTTATTAAGACTTTTAAGTTTCATTTCCCTTGGCTAACAATTTTTATAGGAATGAGTTTGGTCGAGGAAGCACCAGAGGAATAATTTTGGTGAGGCACCACCGTTTGCATTACCTCTTTATTTGGTTTATGTAATATATATTGTGCCAACTTAGAATATATATTATTTCATAGAGCATATAGACTCTAATTTTGATTAACTGCATATATGGACAAGAGGAGTATATCTGTCCCTCTTGGGTCTTTACTTGACTTGAATATTATACCATGAGGATTTTGTTTTTCTCTCTTGGCCTTAGATTTGACTAGTATGATTGATCATGAGAATTCTTCTACCCCTCATTGTCCTAACTACTTTTTGAAATACTGGTCATATTAAATTTGTTTGGAATTATTGAGCAATTAGTAAGCTTGTATAGATGATATTATTAGATGTGATCATGTTGTGAACAAGTATACTTCCTATAACTATTTCTAGTTGAGGCCACATGTTAAATGGTTGTGAATATTGTTCGGACTCATCTTGTGTATTATTAAATAACTTAATGTTGGGAAAGTGTTGACTACCAAGATTTATTTTAATTGATTGGCATGTACACTCTGGTCACATTGTTATGTCATAAATTTGTGCTTAGAAATTGATTGAGATTTTTTCACCCTAAGAGTCATGCTTTTATGCTTAATTCTGATTTCAAAATTATTACTTGATTTTGAATGTCAACTGTTTCTATAGGATCCCTTGATTCAAATGGTTTTGCATTGTTTTCCAATGAGTATAACTTACTATAATTTTTATTCTAATTATTATGATAAAGTTTATTTATTACGTTAAATTCTTTATATCATGTTTGGAAAAATAAATTCAAAAATTTAGAGTGCTACAATTAATACATTTTTTCAATGCCAATTAATCCTTGCCATTAATGCATTGCAATTAATTTATACGGTTACTATTACAAGATCTCATTGTCACATGAGACCTAATTCGTGAGTTCACTTACCGAGTTATAACTAAATCGGCCTTTTGATCAAAATAAAATAGCTCAAATGAGATTGCGGCATGGAACCTCTCGAATCAAATTAACTTTGTTGTCCCCATTGTGACGATCTTTATTATATTAGTGGATGACCTATAAATATTTTTATCAATGTTCTTTAAATTTAGAGACATATTCTAACCCAAACAAGTTTCAAAACTTAAACTCATCTAAATTTTTATTCATAAAAAAAATCCATCAAGTCATCTCTAGAGCAAAATCTTCGTTAGCTTCGACAAATGGCTGATATGCAATAATGTTTAAAAAGATTACGCAATTTTGGGAATCAAAATTGAGTTAAGTTAATCCATACACATATCCTTTTTTTCCAATATAATAAATCTCCTAACGCCCAATAAATAATTTGATACATCAAAACTACCATAGTTAAACCTGCCATAATTAGAATATTTACTTCAAAGTAAATAAATCTGTAAATATTATAGAAATTTATTTAAACTACTTTGGACACAAGAGTAGTTCAATAACCATTATTGAAAATCTAAACTTTTTATACCGCTAGTTTCAACACAAGTTTAGGAATCGGTGTAAAATGTCAATTTTAACCGGATAACATATACTAGAAAAATATAAATTAATATAATAATATAAATTAGATGTATTTGATATATAATTATAATATATATATATATATTAAATAAAAAGGCTTAAATAGGCTAGGCATGATATGATTGGATATGGAGGGATATATTGAAAGAAGGCATATGAAGTGGATCCAAATCCTCATTAAATGAATAATATATTCATTTTATATTAGAATTAGCAATATGATACCATTAAACCAAATAAATAATTAAAAGGATGGATGAGATTGTGTATGGAAAGATGTATTGATGGAAGGTATGGAGAGGATCCAAATCATATGCATGCATGCATATAATCAAAGCCATAACGTGGAAGTTTGTTGAGTGGGACAATGCATTATTTGGTCTACTCTCGCGTGTGGACCATACGGAAAAATACATTCATTGAAACACTAGCACGGCATGGCCGCATATATTGCAACTTGCTACGGACGACTAATTTTTCTTGTTTTCTTCTTAAAACTACAAACTATCTCACCAGTCAAATTAATAATAATACCAGAGATTTACGCGTGTCTTGTTTCATATCAATTTTGGCCATAGGTTCTTATAACGGGTTCCTAAATCTCTCTTGGTTGTCCCTTCGTTTCAGTCCTTTGCCTATTCGAACTGCAACTTTCGGGTTAAGAGCTAAGCATCCTAACCAGCAAACCACAAGTCCACAAGGCTCTTGGTTGTCCCTTATTTAAACCATGTTTGTTCTGACCTTGTGTTTATTGTACTGTTTCTTCTATCTACTGCCATATTTACAGACCATATATAGTTTTTTACTTTTAGTTTAGTTCATTTTTCAATGGAGCCTTCGTGCTACATCCTCAAGACATTACAACTCATGGGTTTGGTGTGCGGACGGTGGCGGAGCTGAGACCCTAAATCAAGGGGCGCATGACAATATAATTAAAGATTAAAAATTAAAAAATAATATTCTAATTTTTTAAAATTAATTACATTAGATAAAAATATAATAACATAAGCAAAATTATGTATATTTGTATTTGAGCAAATATATTAAGATTTTTTTCTCCAAAAATATGTTGAGAAGTTGATATCGAGTTTAAGTCTAGACCCTCAAATATATTTTATTGAGTTTAAAAAGTTCAAAATACTAAAAATATGTGGTACAAGATTATAAATTTTTTATATTATATTATATACTTTTCCTAATGTGAGGGGGTGCATTTGCCCCCTCACATGTATGTGGCTTTGCCAATGTGTGTGGACCATATTTAGTGGAAAACATGATTATTAAAGCCAAACCACACACATAACAGCCCCATGTCTTGCCACTTATTACAGAAAAGCCTGTTTAGATTGGAATAGAAAAAATGAGATTATAGATAATTATGATTTCTAAAAGTGACATTAATTAAAAGTGATGTTAATAAATTACTACCTCCATCCCAAATTATAGGACACTTTTTAAGAAGTTTCTCTATAAATTAAAGTTTTATTAAATGCACCAATTTCAATATCATCCTTCTTCTCTCTATAATTAATTTTCATCTCTTTTTTTAATATATTAAATGATGGTTATTTTTGGAAGATAAGGTTGTTAAGTATATTTAATGAGATTTATTAATATGTGAGATTTTGTCTAAAAGTGTCTTATAATTTGAGAGGGAGGAAGTATAATTTTTGTTTAGATACTTTTTTTAAAGAAACCAAAAAAGTGACTGCAAGAAAGTTACTTCTATTTGGATTATTGTATACATCAATCACGTTTGGTTTTATAATTATCTGAAAGGTATGATTTTTATAATGTTGTTTAATTTTCTATAATTATCATTATCAAATATAATTTAATAAAAATTCAATCGTAATTTTTTGAATGCAGAAGCACTTCCTGGTAGCTTCTACTCAACGTATTACAAAGGATCCAAATCATGATTAATCGGGGTTTTCAAAAAATTATCATCCAAACAATGCAAATGAGCTTTATAATCACTTATATGGGCTTAAAAGAGATTATAAAGGCTTTCACTGCTAAACCAAGATAGCACTAAATTTTCTTGTCATTTTTAATTTTCTTGTCATTTTAAACTTCCGTGAAAATCTATCTTGATATATATTATAATAATCTGAAGTGCCATTATACACATGTGATCATGCTTCCATGAGTAAGTTCCTTCCTTTCACAGAACTCAAATGAGCAGCGTTATTATTCATGTGTTGAACAATACAGCTTCTTATAAGTGTGACGGATATATAGTGATTATAAAGCACACCATTACACAGTTACATCATATATTTATAAATCTCAATGTTGAATTAGGGGGGAAAAACACTGTATTACGTATAGTTTATAACTCAGTTAAGATGACTCATCCTCTTCTTAAGGTCATGTTGATATATTATATCTTGGATTAAAGAACGTTTTTACTCTTCCACTATTCACTCACAAGTGTTTGGTGCCTTAAACAAATTTGTAGTGTAATTTCTCCCTTCAACAACATTTAAAAATGGTGCATTGACTAAAGTGTTAAAAAAACATTAACTTAAACCAAGAAATTACATAAAAAGGGACCTCAGAGATTACATAATTAAGAAGATCCAAAAAGTTATAAAGAAGTATCTCATAAGCAATCACTTTCAACTTCCCGAAATTTTAAATAAATACCAAAAAATATATTATTTTTTATCATATAAAAGACAAAAATACTATTTTTACCGACCACTTTGACTGGTGGCGGGGTAATTCGGAGATCACCAACTTTTAGTATAGCATTAGTTGCTTGTGTAATTGATGCCATAGTAACTATTTTTATTTTTTATTTATAAAATTGTTATTAGGATCAAAATTCTTTAAGGTTCATTCCCTACATTTTTTTCACGAATTTTTGAGGATTTGAGCTGTCGAATAAATCAAGTGACGATAGATACATTTGATTTTGATTCATAGGCAGTAATATAAAGAGCCATATAAATATATAACATGTACCCAAAATGAAGGAAAAAAATTTTGAAGTATTTTGTGCCAATTTTTAAAGTGCTAAAACCACTCGAGCAAAGCATATGGTTTCATTCATTACGCAGTAAAATTGTAATTTGTAAGCATTCATTTGATCAAATGCTGAGGCAAATATGATAAAATTTATTGTTCCCGATAGTTAATTAACAATATTTTTTTCACTGCCACGCAATTATATCACAATAGAGCTTATATCCAGTGAAAAAGGCTGGTTCCTCACAATATGATAAACCAAATTTTGAATCTCCGCTAAGATAGTTGCTTGCATTTATTTAGTATCTGACCGTGTCTTGAACTATTGGTCTTTATAATTTTAATGTGTTTTGATCTAGGTCCCTATAGTTTTTTTTCCATCACTTCAAGACCCTCTAGTTTAACGTGTCTGCAATATTAGTCCTTCTATTTTTGAGTATTGCCAAAAAGATGATAAGATGGTACTAGCAATGTTAAATATGTTGAACTGTGACTAATGTTATTAATATGAGCTAAGTAGAATTATAATTCAATATCTTAACCATGTTGTTCACCTTGTTTTATTTCATATTTCATGTTTCAATCTATTGAAGCATAACTCCACCTTAACACAAAGATTAACTACATTAGTCATAGATCACATACTCCCTCTGGTTCAAAAAATAAACACTATTTGTGAAAATTTCGCATACCAATAAAGTCCACATTACCATAAAAATATATAATATTGTTTTTCTATTTGACCCATAGTCTCAATTACTAATACACTTTATAATGAGTGAAAAAAATATTTATACAAACAAGGGGTAAAATGTTTTTTTTACATGTACTAGGTTGTTTATATTTTGAACAAATATTAGCTGAGAGAAAATGCTTTTATTTTGGACTG